GATTTCTCTGAATCTACCATCTCACTTGGGCTCCTTTTCAGTTTAAATGGGATTATTTGTTACTATTATATGTATTCAGAGACTAAGCGTTAGTCTAGGTGCTGATAAACAGGTTATTTCACAGGATATGTTCCAGATATTATGTGAAAATGTTTCCCCAGTGATCTTCATTATCCTGGTTTGAAACCACAGTGTATTTGACACAGGGTAGTTCCAACGTCATATCCAGTGAGATGTTAATTTGATATTTTCAGATAATCATAATTATATTTTTCATCACATTCATTGATTCTTCTATGTCCCGAGTGAAATGAGGTAAACAGATTGTACTTGATATTCAAAGGAAGATAAATAGAGGATAAGAATATGTTTTCTATTCAAATAATGTCTTTTTTTCATCCAGTGAGCTGCCAAAGATAATATACATTCCATTTGTCGAATCATGAGATGAGATAAATATGTAATAGGACTAAAAAAAAAAAAAACAGTCATTCACTGTCCTGTTTCTTTCTTATATGCACCACTAACACATCACAGTGCCATTGCCGCGTACTGAAGTACTTCCCGCACGAAGATTACTCTCCAGTCGCAGGGCGAATTACCAATTATATATTTATCAGATGGAAACCTTTATTCACAACTATATGTTCATGTATATATGAAGAGAGCATGCGAGAGTAATGGGTGAACGGTGTTTTACTACACAGTCAACGGTTTAACGGTGATCTGTAATTACTCGATTGTTGCCCCATTGTCGTTCGAACATCGCTTGCAGCGGTCGACACTGTCGTTGTACGACGACAGTTGTCAAGGGCATACATTATAGTCACCCAATCCTCATTAGCCTGCATCTTAATTGAACATCCCGTCTTGTGCCATCATGCCGCAACAATAATCCAGCTATATAGTGCGGGGGCTTATGTAGCAAAAATGCTTTCCGTAGGAAGTGCATGTTAATTTTTGGAACCACTGATAATTGTGATCAGTATTGCATATGGATTCAGAAAAAACATGGTTCCATTTTTTCTGATGATTATAAGTGTCATTCTGGGGTAACTGAACATCGGTACCCATAATCGAGCTGCAACACCAATGTGAGAAAAACATATTTTATAAACCTATCACAACATAGGCATGTAGTATGTCAAAATGTACCTTGGGATGTGTGTTTTACAACTACCATTATATGTCATGAATCTCATTAATATATGATGCATAATAATCACTATGATCATAAGTGCTTCTGCCAAAACCGAAGGTTTGTTGCAGAGGGTATTTATTCAACCCTGTTTGTTTATGTGTGTTTATGTGTTAGCATCTTTACTCAAAAACAACTAGATGGATTTCAATGAAACTTTCTGGATCTCTTGGGTATGTCCCCAGGACAAACCAATTAGATGTTGAAAAAGTACACTCTTCAAAAAAAGAAACGCAAAAGCAAAATATCATTGAAAACTCTGGCCTTATTCAAGTATGTAAATCAACGAAAATAAACGGTACAGCACTGAAATTATGTGGAGCAATATCTCGTGCACATTTCACAAGAATGATAGTCATCATAGTCATTACTGCTGTCCACGAGGTGGCGTTGACGTTACTACCTTGTATGGACACCTCTTACTGCTAGAACTGCACGACACCTCCTTGACGACACAGATTGAATCAGTTGTTGGATATTTCATTGTGGAATCCTTATCTATTCCTCCAGCAGCGTGTTGAACAACATTTACTGTTAAAGCCTCAATGGCAGATTACGACGTTGACGTACATGTTTATCAATCTGATCATACAGGTAATCAATTGATTTCAGATCCGGGGATCTGGAGGGCCAGGGGAAGACATTGATGTCGTTATTGTCCAGGTAGTCCACTGTAGCATGTGCTGGGTGAGGTCTGGCGTTGTCCTGTTGGTACAGCTCCCTTTGGCTGTCGACAAGACAATGCAAGTGAGGACAGACAATCTGGTCGATATATCTCGCGGCCGTAAGATTGCCTTGGACGAGCACCAATTCCGATCTGCAGGTGTATGAGATGGCTCCCCACATCATCACACCATCTCCACCAAATCTGTCCAATTGCCTGATGCAGTTGGATGCAAAACGTTCATTGCGTGGTCTGTAGACACGTTGTCTTCCGTCACGTCACTTAAGGGGATACCGCGATACATCATTGAACCATATGTGCCTCCAGTTTCCATGGTTCCATGGCTGCACAGCGTTACACCACCTGACACACGGACGTTCATGTAATCGTGTCAGAGAGGGGGCAACTACTGGACGTCTGGCACGCATACCTACCTCTCGGAGACGGTTCCTTATTGTCTGGCCGGACATTCTCCGGGCTCCAAACCGTTCTTGTGCTGTGTCCCGGGCGGAACGATGGCAGTCACGTAGGTGGGTTACCCGGATGTAGCGATCTTGGGCTTGTGTGGTGACTCGCGGTCTTCCTGGTCTTGGATGGTCATTTGTCGAAATGGAATGCCCAAAACGATCCCACAAACGAGTTATTGTGCTGGGATGAATGCTGAAGGTCCTCGCCACGACACTCTTGGATTCGCCAGCTTGTAATCGTCCAATGGCAATATTTCGGTGGGCATCGTTAGACGTCCCAGTTTCTCATCCAGTATTTGCAAGGGTCTTGGATGAATTTGCGAGATGCATTTGGGTCTTTTATAGTCTGCTTGCACGCGAAAAGCAATAATTGCGGCTTTTGGTTGTGTTCCATACCAGTCAAGCTCATCATGACAATCATGATAGATAAAACCATTCAAAATCGTTTATGTTTGCATTCGATCACGCATGTTCTTCTAAACCATACCAACAACCATATTCAACCCTCAAAACATGCTTAATTTGACATTTGCGTACAAGCTTTCATTTTTTTTCAAATTTTATTTTGCGATTCTTTTTTTCTTTTTTTTGAAGAGTGTATGTTAAAGTACATGCACACAGAGGTACTTTGAAAATAATCGCAATGTTAAATAAAAGGAGAATATGAATAATATATCAAAAAGTTATGGATGGATTTGAATGAATCTTGGTGGTTATGTTAGGTGTGACACAAGGGCTATCTGTGTATGGTTTGGTGAAAGTACATTAAAGTACAAGTACACAGTAGTACTTTACAAATGCAATAGTGAAAGGACATTCCAAATTAAGATAAAAAGAATTCATGCTTGTTGTTTGTATGACAAATAATGCCGAAGCTTGTATTTCAACAGCATATTTTGTTCTTGCCGGTTAATGACGGATTGATTGACTATGCAAGTTACTTAACAATGTGAAAGTTAAAAAAATATACTAGTGCACATTATATGTTGTACTTGCATACCCCACTTGTAATATGTAGTTATCTGCTCACTGTGATATAATTTGTCACTCCTGTATTAATACATTCAGTTTGTATTGACTGCAGATTTGTCTTTATGTCATTTGTCATTTAATTACCCAGACACGAGTGCCGGTGTGTCTATTCTGATTGTACCGGTAGGCCTGATTTGACACTTGTGCACGACTATATGATAGTCACATTAGCCTTATCTGGGTACTATTATTACTACATAAGTGTGTCAAGGTTGTATAGATTATGAAATGGGAAAATACATTAATTCAATAAATGGCTTCCATTAATATAGGCCAATACTTACAATGTTGGTGTCCGATGAAGGAAAGACAACATTTGATTAATTTATATGATTATGTCATATTTTATGTCACCAAATTGAAATTAGAAGCATATTTTGTGGTTATCTCTATATCCTGCATCATAAGCTGCCTTTTGATATGCTACATGACTATGTTGTGATAGGTTTATGAAAACATGTTTTTTCACGAAATGGTGTACAAGCAATTTTGGGAACTCATATTCAATCACCCCACAATGACACTTATAGCAAACAGAATAAAAGGAACCATGTTTTTCCTGAATCCGGCGATTACAATTAGTATTGGTTCCAAAAATTAACATGTAATTCCCACGGAATTACACAAGCCCCTGCACTAATATGGCGGCGGGCTGTAAATAATCCAGTGATCAACAGTATGGGCATATTGGGATGCGATGACATGTGTCAGCCAAGTCAGCGAGCCTGACCACCCGTTCCCGTTAGTCGCGTCTTACGATCACCTGGGCTTCACACATTGTACCCATGTGGGGAATCGAACCCGGGTCTTCAGCGTGACGAGCCAACGCTTTAACCACTAGGCTACCCCACCACCCAGCATGAGTATAGTAGAAACCTTAATCAATATTTAGGAACACCGTCTTATGTCAGCTGTTGTGACGACGTAATGTTTGACTGTTTCCTTCTGGTCTCTCTTCGTGGTGTTTGAAAACAGAATATTTGTTCGGTAGATCGGCGAATGTTGCCAACCAGTTTCTTCCACAGTTACCGAGATAAGGGATGACAGTGAGATTACCAACTACTTGGTGTATGGACATTCACCTATGAATGTACACTTAGTAACACTATTCAGACAAACTGAATAAGACTTACAGAGTATTTCCGTCTCCAGACCGGGAAGATTTTCTGGATAAGGAAATCTGTGTACAGAACGGAATGTTTCATTTTTTGGTAAAACCTTAAACTACATGATTCCACATAGCTTAGCTGGATATTTTGGCGCATACAAAATGATCAAGAAGTCAGCCTAACGTCACTGCTGACATTGTCTCTTCAGAGACAACCGCCGCCATATAGCTGGAATATTGCTGAGTGCGGCGTAAAACTAAACTCACTCACACACTCAAAGAGGCAAGTGTGTTGGTGAGTGTTGTAATACACCACCTCAAGCAATATTTTACGCCGCTTTTAGCAATATTCCAGCAACATCATGGCGGTGAACACCACTACAAATGTAGGAGATAAGATCCGGACCTTCGGCGAAACGAGTGAATTAGAACGTTTTAACCACAAGGCTACATAAACGAGTAGCTAACATTTTAACCTTATACTTTTATAGTTTACAGTGGTGGCTTAAGAATAATAGAAAAAGTACGATGTTCGTGTCATAGCTTTTAATTTTCCATTTTTTCCTCAAATTTCTAAATAGAATTTCCAAACCTTTATGCTTTCAAATTCAATAAACACGAAAACACTTTTTTATCTAAAATTCTGTTAAGACTGTCGTTTCAATCCACAGGGGTTCGCATCACTGTTTGGACAATATTTTTTTTAAATAAAAAATCTATATTTTTGCAACCGTATATTGTTTTTATATGTTATGAGTAACTTATGTTTTAAATTTGAACGAAATCGGTGAAGAAATGGATTTTTTAGAAAATTATCCCGCTTCACTCATTACATAAAATAACGTGTATTATATAAAAATATTGTCCAAACAGTGATTCGAACCCCTGTGTTTCAATCCCATCCGTGATTGAGCACGTAGCATAGAGATGCTGAGATCCACATCCAGCTGATTGGACTGATGGTCGGGGAACCTGTCAAATACAAATAACAACCAATACATACAACTGATACCAATGATATTATGAATTACGCAAGTCAGATCCATCACCTGATAACTGCTTTAAGATATGCTTTACTCTACGTTACTAGAGAACAAATGAGTATTTCAGTTCAATCTGTATTGGGAACCGTAAAAAGTCAGTGTATGAAACGGATTGTGAGTCCCTTCATTGTACAAATAAATCACTGTGCATTCTATTGTTTGATCCGTGTATACACATATGATCGATTAAAGAAAACAATGTTTGTCATGTCATCAAAGAAATGGCTGATCGGCTTGTTGAGGTGGTGGCCAGAGTTCCATGTCAAGGAGAGTGAGTGAAGGTTGTTTGATGCCGCAGTCAGGTATATAAGAAAGACTGTCAGTAATCCAGTCAGGGCCAATAAACCCAATCACTGATGTACTAAACACAGTTACAGCCATACCAAGTACCAGGGCCACATTGACAAACAACACATGTATATACAACATCACATTTGTATTACTCTGGGCAATCATTTCTCAAAGAAGCAATTTGATATCGATACTGTCAGTGCCATTTGTCGTTTGTTTACACTTTCTATTTGTTAACGGTAACAGGCAAACACCTGTACATAACTGTTGTTTCCGGGTGGTTGCCCGTGCTTAGATCTACAAGTGCTCCTTTGGCATTCCTGTGATACTTATTGACCATAGACAACTATCTGGGGTCTTGATGATATTTGACGTCATCACCTATCATACCATGTATGTATTCTGAGGGTAAATACAGGGGACAATGTTTATAAAAATTCATGATCTTAATTAATGGAAGTGAACGACGTGTGTGTCTGTGTGTGTGTGTGAGTGACTCACCTTGAGACAACATGACTGTGGACTTGGTTGGCGAGTCATTTGAGTTCTCGTTTAGAAGGTATCTTCCTTGTCGTTTTGAAGTACATAACCCGGATGTCTGTTCACACCTCAGGCAAGATGATGCACATGGCACAGTACAGTTGCCGCCGTAATGACCATCTGGACACTTCTTACAGGTGCCATTTATGTTGCATTCAACTCCCACACATCTGTTGCTGCATGGAGACTGGCAATCCTCATCCGACCATCCTCTGACACATCCCCTGGTACAAGTAACTGAGGAGAGCAGTTCGTTGTATGTGCATGTATTGTCCACGCAATTCCTACACCGTATGTCACACTTCGGCCCAATGAACCCTGGCTTGCATTGACCACAGTATCCCTGGACAAGGTTGCATCTGTTCCACAGACAGTTTTCTGGACATGGTTTATCACACAACTGGCCGCCGAACCATCCATCAGTGCAGCCAAGAAGACATGTTCCCACATCCTGGTGACATGCAGATTGATCACAGTTGCCGGGGCAGGGTTTCTGACACTGATGCCCCCACCGACCAGGGACACACCCCTCCAGACACCTCCCTGCGTCACGGTCACAGTACCGGTTGCCATCAACACTCGCACAGCAATTAAGTGAACATCTTTTAAAACATCCATCAGAGTAGTATCCAGGCGAGCACTGTACACATCTCCCTGTGTCCTGTTCACATCTACCATACCAGCATCCTTGACACTTCTTGGAGCAGTCAGCACCAAACCATCCAAATATACACTCTCTGCAAGTACCATGCTTACAGTCGAGGCAGTGGTCTCCACATTGGCCATGTGCTGACTCCACTACAAATACGACATAAAGTAGTAGGTGAGTGAGTGAGTGAGTGAGTGAGGTCGACATGTTCAACACCTGATACAGCAATTTAACGTGGTTTACACCAAGAAGTGCTTCAGAAAGTCCAACCATAAGGGAATCTTACAATTAACCTTTTCAATGACATAAACATTGAAATATTTGTTTACTGATTTCAGAAAACATTTACATTATTGATTTTAGGACAACTGACGATGAATGAAAAGATCGTTCTACATTTGTCTCAAAATATAAATAAAATATATACTTTTCGTTAAACTGTGTTCTGTCAAAAGTAAAGCTACGACATAAGTTTCTGAATTTGTTATCACTTTTTACAGAAATAAAACTCACTTATGCGAAATAATACACCACGATCGTTTAAATTGCGCCGGACACTTTCAAATATGAACAATCCTAATTCTATCTACAGAATACGTTACAGGGTTAGAGGGGAAATGGGATTTGAGGATGTTCTAAGATCACATTCGTAAAATAATATACCAGGTTTACTTACAGGCAAAAGCCACGTACATCACAAATATGATCTTCACCATTTTGTTGATTGTCAAGATATTATGAAGAACTGAAATAAAAATGTAAAGATCAATATTAGGGATATGGCCTCTGTTCTCGTCAGATGAGCTTCAATTTTCAGTTAGGTACATTGTATTTTAACCATTTATGTTCACATATGATATCACTATTTTCAGAAGATACATCTCCTTTGTGTAAATAGAATGGGTGTAATTTTCACCTGGCCGCCTGTGTTAAACAGGCAGAGTGTGAGGAGTTATGCTAGGTTTTGTCATACATGGGTTCGAATCCATATATTCATCAGTATCATTAATTTACCTGTTGTAGAATAATATTCACCACGCCCTAGGGCGAAGAGTTATTAACTTGGTCTCCTGGATGTGTATCGGCAGTTAACATTTCACTCTACCTCTGTGCGACTTTCCCTTTCTCTTACACTTCTCATTCTCAGCTCCCGGCTGATCCTTCGAAAACGTCTCTTCCCAGAACACGACCAAAGGAATCAATGAATAGGACCGCTATATCAGGCGTGTCGTCAGCGTTTAAACATACATGAACCATCCTCTACATTCTCAACAATGACCGTTACAATTAGAGCGAAAATTGCCGTCCCCCTCATTCGTTATTATCAGCCTACCAGTGTGAGCCGAGTATTGTACATCTAGAAGTTCTATGTTTTATCAGTGGTTAAAACCAGTTGCTTGTAGCGCGTATGTATAACATGAGTACAGAGTCGTATGATCTGAGTGACCGTGTGACTTCGAATTAGGTCACTTTACCATTAGGTCTCATATGTGATCAGCTGATACCCGTCTGTTGCAATCGGTGCATGTGTGTATGAGAAATCAGATAAAACCCGAATGGTTTTACATTTGAACTTCAATTTCATGTTGCTTCATGAACCTAAAACCTACGATATGTAGAGAAACTTGGGCTCAGATAACGTTCTTTATTGACATGAGTAATTTGTGATTATTTGACGTCAGCACCTGAGATTAACCAGTCTCGATTATCCATAGAAACAAATTCCATCGGGGTAAGAGATAAAAGGTAAAATAATAAGAACTGATCGCTGAAGTTGGGTAAGCGTGTCCTGAATTGAAGAGATCACAGTCACGTTTCATGATCATTCTTGTAGAATTTCAAGGGAGATGAGGAAACTAATTATTTCATCTTTGTCATAGGAGAAAAGTGTTCCAAGTAATCAGGTTGAAATTGTTAAGCCTTTATACACACTCATTCACTCTGTTTCAATGGCATCAACCCATGAAGATACGGGTAAGAACAGTTACTGATCTGCAGCAACCCATGCTTGTCGTAAGAGGCAACTAAGGGGATCGGGTGGTCAGGCTCGCTGACTTGGTTGACACATGTCATCGTATCCCAATTGCGTAGATCGATGCTCATGATATGTTAATCACTGGATTGTCTGGTCCAGACTCGATTACTCACAGAGCGCCTACACATAGCTGGAATATTGGTGGGTGCGGCGTAAAACTAAACTCACTCTTTATAGTCCCTTCAGTCACAATGACCAAAGCCAGCACATGGATCGGCTGATATGAGAGTCACGCCATTGGACATTGTACACTTGCAAAATTGGGCGATAATGACTCACGATGGATGTGACATGGATCTATTTGTAGCAAACTGTTCACGATGACCCAAGATTCGGGTCGTGACCCACATTCAGGTTACATGTCTTGATCGAGGGGTGCACGGCTCTCTATGCATGGTTAGTGCAACAAAGGACTTCGGTTTAACATGGCTTTCAACAGCTGGTGTATCTTAACGTAGAGGCAATTCCCAATACAACATACACTTTCTACCACTTCGGTGGACAACAAGTCAGTGTTATTGCCTACCACTTGCTCAAATATTTGTTAAATAAGTGTTTCAGCTGTCTCCGCGGCTTTAGTTTAGTGTTACCCCGACGTTGGAGTGACAGGGTTGTACACAGACACGCCCATGCTGACGTACACAACAATAACCCTATACAACTCAGATTCTTCACACACTGGTAGCAGGTAGCAGCCCAAGCATTGGCCTAACGAGTGTTGTTTTAAGCTGCAGGGCCTAGATTTTCGAAGCTCTCTTAGCGCTAAGATAGTCGTAAGTGCCAATCGTTATTATTAACTTAGACTATCTTATCGCTAAGAGAGCTTCGCAAATCTAGGCCCAGTTCTTATGGTCTGGGTCCCTTTGACAAAGCTATCGTAGCGCTACGATTGTCGTAAGTCTATGTTACAGTATATGAGGTACGACAGTCGTAGCGCTACGATAGCTTTGGGAAACGGGGCTCTGTAGTTATGGGTTCGGAAAGTTTCGTCACAATGCTTAAATGTGCGGCTTTGGAGCAACAGATAATTTGATGTCTCTTGAAAATTGTCTTTCCTTGAAGATAGCAAGTTGACTTTTGTACATAAGCACAGTATCGTTAAAACCAAATGTCAGTGCTCGCTACTGCTGTACAACAATCTGAGGACAATACCATACATACAACAAAATACTAGACAATCCCAACAGGCGGAGATACAGTAACAGGGCTGGTGCACCTGTACATACCATTCTGGTCAGATTAGTACCTGTTTTGGAACATTCGTACTCTCGTTGGCCGTTTATTCTTTAATGCAAGAGACTGCTTTCACTAGTCAACACCATAAAAACACCTACCATTGGCTTGATAGAAAAACGATTATTGTTCCCGATCTTGAGGGGGCACTGCCGCAAAATGACAACAAAACAGTATTGTTTTAAAATGTATGTGTATTTTCACTAGGCATGGATTCTCTTTCTCGGATACGAGTCCTTTAGTTGATTAGGTATGCTGGATATGGCTTATCCTACATCAGTAGACCATAAATCTCGGATCTCCAAGGGTATGGATTGTCCAGTTCCTGTCAGAACGCCTTTCATTTGACCGGGTTTAGGAGATCTCCAAAATGAAAGTCATAATCTGATTTCTAATCATGAAAACTTGAAATAGTCTTGACAAGTACGATGGGTTCCTCACATTGGTTGGCTCCACATTTGGTGATGTGCAAATATTCTGTCTCCGAAACGTCCCAGTTTCAGCTTCATAACTATTAGGTAGTAGATATTCAGTGCAGGTAACTTCTTTCAGTAACTAAATAACAGTGAAGGTTTGCCTTCAATTGTTCTTTACCACGATAGTCAGCAGATACATGCTGTACTTAGGTCTCCTGTAAACATAGTAAATAATGTGTGTGTACTCAACTTCTGTCTGTGGTCTAGATATATAGACTGAAGAAAATGGTATGTAATCTCAGTCTATTTAGGTTTCTTAATTCATAACAAGTCACTTCTTTTTCTTTTTAGGTTTGTGTTCTTCATTATTGTTGTTCTCTCTCTTCAGAGTTTTTGACACGAAACTTTTCTCTATTGTATCAGGTGTGAGTACTTTCCCAACATGGTAGGTCCACAACACCAACTCCACTTTCTTTGGGGTCCAGTGAAAGGCTTTATCTGCAATAACAGGATATACAACATATACAACAACCTCCACACCAATACCTTGCCCATGACAGATATATGTGAGGTGAGGTGAAATTGGGTCTAACGTGGTGCTTGAGAATATGTCACTCATATGACGACGTGCATGCGTATGTGTATGTGCGGCTGCTTGTACTAGCCCAGTCTGAAGCTGGTTTTATAGTGCTAGCCCACTGAGATACCATGCCGCAGTGAAGCATGAATACCCCACTCAGACACATTATACTGACTCCGAGCCGACCAGTCCTTGTTGTACCCATTAATGCCGAGCGCCAGGCAGGGACCAACAAGTACCATATTTTAACGTCTTTTGGTATGACGCGGTTGGGGATCGAACCCGCAACCTTCTGCTCTCCAGGCGGACGCTCTAACCACTACACCACGGAGGCAGTCACAGATATAAGTCTTGGAAGTGTACATATGTCATGTTAATAAAGGTGTAAGCAATTCTCAACAATTCCAAGATATACCCTTAGTTACATTTCAAATCTACAGTGAAACTGCCAGTGAACTAAATGAGGGACAGAAGATTTAGCAGTAAGGCTGAATGAAGGCATTCGAAAATGTTAATGGCTTTCTTATGGATGTGAATTGTCTAGGCTGTGATTGCCTGAGTGGCAACAATCCTCCTGAGCTACAGATCCCCTGAACACAATGTTAAAAATTGCTTCATTATTCTGTTAACCTGAATTATACACTGCCTGAGGTACAAACACTGTGTTTCAAACATCAACCAAACAATATGTTTCAAAACAAGACAGACTCACTCTGAACTAAACTACAAAATGAAACCTGAATATAATTCTCAACTGATGGCCAACAGGAAGTGACAATAGTGCCAGGATCTAGAAAGATAAACTGCTTTCTGAAGAGATGGTAAAATCAAAGCAGTCCAGATAACTCCCTGTTGTGACCACCCAATTGTCACAGACCACATCATCAGACTGGAGTCGCAAGACCCTTGACATGCATACCTTGACCCTTCAGCTGTTTGCAGATTGCCTGCACTTGCTCCAGGAAGACAAGGTAAGCATTGTGTGTGTAGGTCAGAGGTTTCGTCTGAAGGGCCAGCATACTCTCGTCGGCCATGAAGGGGCTGTACTCAGGGCTCCCTGCAGCCAGTATGGCTAAAATATAGAAACATCTAGGGGATAAACCAATGAAAAATGTCTACTTCACCAAGTACAATTTCTGTCGCCAGATCATGTTGAAATTATCCAAGTAGAACACATGACATCTTGGTGAGGTTTAATGTGATACATCACTGTGAACCAAACATGTTCCCAGTCTGGTGTTAATACACAGATACTGAGCATTGCTCTAGCCCTTAGCCTTATATTGCCAGAGCAGTCATATCACGCATTGGGATGAGCTGGAGGTGAAGGTGACATCCGTGCCTTACATCAGATTATTAAGACCACGTAGGAACCATATAACAGCCACGACAAACAAAACTAATTGAACAAGAAGACAAAGTCATCAATATCCCACGCAATGGCAACATACTCTTTGTGAATATGTCAACTAGTTCTGACTACCGGTATGTCAAATGTTTTGACATGTTTATAGCAGTGAATTTAGTTTTAAGCTGCACTCAGCAATATTCCAGCTATATGGCGGCGGTCTGTAAATAATCAAATCTGGACCAGACAATCCAGTGATCAAAAGTGTGAGCATTGATCTACGCAACTGGGATACAATGACATGTGTCAACCAAGTCCGCGACTATATAGCAAAGTGGAAGGAGAGTGTTGAAAGGTTTCCAAATTCTGCTCCAAGAGCACCACCACCAAATTCAGTCGAAGTGTTGCCATGGAAAGGCAAAAACCATTTTATTCCGAAATCCAAAACTATCAAAAGGCACCAGTTCATCACCAGACCTATCTATATGCCAGGTTTGGGGAAGAAATACTGAATCTTTTTTATGTTCTGGCCTGGAAAAGACGAATGTGCACTGATGGAGACCATTTTAATAACCCCCGCAAAACACGTTGCAGGGGACAATTATTCACAATCAGAAAAATAATTGATGCCTCCTGGATCGGAATTTACTCTACCACTGATTCTGCTTGAGGCTGACATGCACACCTGAGGCTGTAGCAGGGCCCACCCCCTTCAGCAGGGACAAGGTCTTGATAGCACTAGACACATCAGGCAACACTTGGAATGCTTTCTTACTGGTGCTGATCACATCATCTGGTGTATTGGAGGACACGAGCTGCTGAAGACGAGGTCGGAACTTACCCCTCTGAAACAGAGACTCATAGTGAGGACAGCACTTGACCAGATGGCTAACACTAACACCCATCAATGGGAGGGTGACACAACCTGATTGCTTGAGAAACAGTGTTCATCAGGAATAGATCCTGGAAATCTCTTTAAAAAATATCTCTGACAAGAATGGTCTGTCTCACAGCTATGAGATATCTCAAAAGTAGAGAGTAGTATGGCAGATTACTTACCAGTAAGTATCTTAGAAAGCAATGAACATGCGTTTTAAGATACAACAAATAAATTTCCACACACCAAATATTCTATAGCACATACAAATCTGGAAATAAACAAGGCAGTGCAACTTATAAATATCAAGTCTTATGCCTCTGGCTACCTTCAGAAGAGAGCCATCAACATTTCCAGTTGTAAGCAAAACATAGATGCTGCTTCTTTCAAACATGATATACCACAACATGGAGGAGACTTGGTACTCAAAGGGTCACAACTGTTAGTGAAAATATACAATCCCAGTACTACAGAATAAACTGGTTTCATTAACAGATTCCATTGTTCATGAACAAGTCAAAACAACAGCCGAAAGTTATATGAATAGATCACTAATAATCGAAAATCTTATGTACTAAAAACTCAAACCTAAACCTTTTCTAACTCAGAGTTAGGAGCAAATAACAATCTTCAGAATGAAACTCAGACATCTCAACTGCAGTGAAAAACCAAAGGGATCAGACAACTCTATCTAAAAGTGTGGTCTTGAAAAATCGAACTGTACTAAAGAAATGTGTTAACTTGACTTGAAGACTTGGTTCTATAAGGAATCTTTGGTGCATTACTTCAGAATGATACCCGTGAAGGTCCGGGTTAGAATTGATCTTCAGTAATCCATGCTTGTCGTAAGAGGCCACTAACGGGATCGTGTGGTCAGGCTCGCCGACTTGGTTGACAGATGTTATCGGTTCCCATTTGCACAGATTGATGCTCATGCTGTTGATCACTGGATTGTCTGGTCCAGACTCAATTATTTACAGACCACCGCCATAAAGCTTGAATATTGCTGAGTGCGGGGTAAAACTAAACTCAATCACTCAGTATGATCTTAAAATTGTGGTCCACATACAGTACAACCAGAAATTATTGAGAATTTAAAGATTGTAAATTTTATTTTTTTCACTCATTACTCACGTATTATATGTGAATGTTAGCAGAACATAACTCCAGATTCAAAGACAGGTGAACAGTTAGTATTTTGTCAAGTCACCATGGGCAGCAATGCAGGCTTCAATGCGGCGGGGCATACTACTGATCAAATAAGTTAGAAAGTCGTGGTCCATGCTGTCCCAATATCAGACCACGTCTTCTTTCATTTCAGCAATATTTGTCAGACTTTTCTTATTGACACTTTCCTTCATAAGTTCCCAAACATTTTCTATTGGATTTAGGTCAGGGCTATAGCTTGGCCAATCTAATAATGTCATATTTTGGGTCAGAAACCAGGCCTGTGAATGCTTTGAACGATGTTTTGGGTCGTTGTCCTGCTGGAAAATACACAAATTTCCATAGAACATGTTAGCAGATGGAAGTAAATATCCCTCGAGAATATCTGTGTACCGCTCACTGTTCATATTCCCTTCAAATACACAGAGGGGCATTGCCCCTAACACAGATATGCCACCCCACACGTTAAATTTCGGACTGTACTTTGGGCGCTGATACAAAGGTTTTTCAGTTTGTTTGGTCCAGAATTTCAGTGTATTAAGGAAACAGCCACTAAACTCTAAACTCCCTTGTTTGTTTTTAGAAACAAGAATACCAAGCTGCCTCCTGTCACCGACAGTCAATATTCTGGGCCTACCTGCGCCTCCCTGGTGCTCAATGCCATATCCATTTGCAATATTTTTCAAAGCACGATAAACAGTGGACAAAGGGATGCCTGTTCTACTTGAAATCACTTTAGCTGATCTGATGTCCTTGTTATAATACTCTAAAATCAACTTCCTCTTCTCTTAATCATCCATACTGTGGATCACTGAAAATGTCGTCTGCGAGCAAGTAAACAAAGGGGTATAACTCTTCACAAACTAATGAAAAAGGATTAACGGAGTTGTCTCTCTTGAATGAAACCAAGCACTTGATAGCTGGTCAAGGTTGTTTATACTAGAAATCCAATTAAACATATTCCTAAAATTCTCAATAATTTCTGGTCATACTATACATTAAATCTGCCATGGCATATTTCAGTTATTAGAACTATCCCTCTGTTGTTCCATTGTTTAATTTCTAAGGTGAAAGCAAGAGGGTAATTGGAAGCCTGGCATCAGCTGGATTTACAGCTGTTTGTCAATTCTTCGCTGCATCAGTTAGCGGTGTCACGATACACCAATCTCACGATACGATACGTATCACGATTGTAAGGTCACGATACGATACGTATCGCGATACATAATTTTTGCGCCTTTTCATAGCATTACCTTACCGGCAACGTACGCGCTCGCTGATTGGTCCATCAAAATAGTCTAGCCAATCACAAAAGCTGTTAGTTTCGAACATATTTTTTAAGTAAAGCTAGCTACATCTATTTATCGGAGCGATCTCGTATAATTTTACTATCAAGACTTTGAAGGAGATGGATATAGCATACAAATTTGAATCGATAAAGTTTTAAAATAGGAATCGATACACGCAAGCATGTATCGCGTATCGTATCGTCAGTAAAATGTATCGATGCATCGATACATTCGCGTATCACGACAACCCTAGCATCAGTTGTCCAGTAGAGGTGATATTTGTATCAGCATCAGATTATGGGACTGTAAAAGGTTAGAAACGTTGCCATATATATAGGTTAATCACCTTTACAAGGTAGTTATTTAAATAAACTCTGCGAGGGCTTTAGCTTTATTTAAATAACTACCATAGTGAGGGTGATTAAACGGCTTACACCACGAGGGCATGCTTATTTAAATACGTGTAATGTATTAGGCATGATGAAGATTATCAAAATAAGTACAATTTTACTGTTTCCAGCAGAAATAATTGCATTAGGGCAGTTATTCAGTTATGCTAATAAGACACTTCCAAGAACAATGGACATAACTTTCCCTAGTGGTTTAAAGGTAGGTTATAGCGACTGAAACTGTAGTATCCCAGACAAGTTCAGATCTGGCAACCTGACTTATAGAATAATTTTGGAGTGCTGGTCCAGTAGCGAATTGATATGTATCTGTTGAATACAGCTCCGACGGACTGAATAATAATAATAATAATAATAATAATAATAATGCTAATTTTTGAGCCTAGAATCCAACACAATGCTGCTCTCTGGCGTTACATTATTACCCTGATGGAATTGTACTTTCAAAGCTGCTACTAAGCGCTTCGGGCGACCATATAGGTCCGTACATCCGCTTCTCAGGTACCCATTTTGAACAGCTGGGTGGACTGAGTGCAATGTGGACGAAATGCCTTGCCCAGGGACTCAACACAGTATGAGAACCAGGTCACAAATTTTGGTGTCTCCACCGGGATTCAAACCAGGGACTTTGGCGTGAGAGGCCAGCATGCTAACCACTACACCACTGTGCCGAAGAGGTCGTCATGAACTAGGAAGTGTAAGAGATCTGAACAGAATCTACTCATAGGCATTGTCTGGAAAGTAAATCTAGGGGCAGTGAAGACATGGGAGTACTGGACCTGTAATCCATCCAGGTGTAAATGCAAAGCAAAGAGCTGTTGAAATTGGACATACATGTAAAAGGGTGTTGAATCAGAACTACATAGGCCTCCACAGTATGAATGAGTAACTAAATGCAAAGTCTAGGGAGATCTAATTGATTCCGGCTAACATATTTCATTAATGAAAAGCAAGTGGCTAGACCCCAACTTTAGGTACCATGGAGGCAGATGCACCCTGTATCAGAAAATTTGAGCCTGGTTAAGACAAGGGTGATGGAACTCAGGATGTGATGGGTCCACATCCAAACTGGCTCACTACTGAAGGCTAAGTACAAGGATTACAAGCAGGGCTTGATTTAAGGAAATGAAACCTACTTCCACCAGGTGCAACATTAGGTAATAACCTTGTTGCACCAGACAAAAACAGGTTGCACCTGATGCTCAGTACAACATTACATATACTGCTTGTATTGCAGTATTGGTTTACATCATTATGAAAAAATATATTATGGGTCTGATAAGTTGATTTTATCTTTAATTCATAAAATTTCTTGAGATGAACAGTAAAAGTCATTCAGTCACTGCCCATGTAGTCATCAGAGTCACTGATCTGAGAGAATTCCTCATCATTGTTTTCCAACTGAGGTCGGTGTACTTTGAACAGCAAAAAATCAACATGCACAGGATGCAAGTTGATCAGGTTCAAAGTGTTTTAATCAATCACTATGTCAAAAACTACAATCGACAACCCAAGAAGGTGTCGGCAGAAGACAAAGAAGGGGGAACATAGAAATCTGGGCCTGGTCTGGAGCTCTAGCATTATCTCGGGATGAGTATTGGGTGGAAGAATACAGACAACCAAGTCTCCAGTCAGTGATTAATTTCCATAACAAGATCTTAGTGAACTTGCATAGCAGGGCTCTTTAAGCATTTAGAACTCGCACTGGTGCAACCTGAAACTGCTAAATGCAACCTCTTATGTATATCAACTTGCACCCAGCTGGAAAACAGAATGATGAGGAACTGACTTAGAACAGTGACTCTGATTATTGTAGGAACAGTCACTGAAGGACTTGCTGTTCATGAAAGTTTAGGAAGTAAGATAACTACAGATTACTTTTGTTATAATACTGTTCTAAAGCGTCTTTACCAAACCTCAAGCATTATATAAAATTTTATATTAAGCAGCAGGTGCAACTTGTATATTTTGGTGCGAAAAGGTGATTGCCTTAGGTAGGTTGCACTGGGTGCAAGTAGGTTTCATTTCCTTAAATCGACCCCAAAAATACTTCCGTTTCCAGTAACCCAACTAATTTATTATCATAAATATGATTATGTCTGTCTTGATTCTCCCATTCAATCTGTCACTAGAATATAGAAAACTGAAGACTCAAGAAAACGTCCATCAATGATGATTCCCTACCAACTTATCAATGTCCTGGAAGGGTATGTTACCAGCAACATAGTAGATATATTTCTGTCTTACCAATAACTTCCACTTCATCAGCTTCACCAGTTCATCATGTGTGACGTGTTTTTCATCTCTGTCAGCTATAGAAGTCGGGAGAACAGCCTGGTACCTGGAGACAAACAAACATCCAACCAGGTCGAGAGGTGCAATTCAACATTCCCTCGTCATGATTTCCCACAGTCAGTCAGCCCTTGCCTTGTGGCCTTATTACCATGACTACTTATATGATATATTAAACACATATTTAGTTACAGCTGAAAATACCTACAATAAATCTGGATATACACAAAATATCATTTTTAAAGAAAGAGGACACACATCGGTGTGTCTTGACTTGTTAATTTTATGAAATGTTCAATCTATTCACGAACAATTAACAGACACAATAACATTCTATCTGTTTGCGTTTACACTGTGTCAATAAAGGTGTATTATTTACATATGAATATCCGTGGTTGTCATAATTTGAAAATGGTTATCTGACTATTGTTCACAAAACGTTATAATTTAGGTTTTCATGTTGTGTTACCCATCACATGTCATCACCACCAGTAAAAGTGAACATGCACACATACATTTCTGACTAAATTAATCTTATTAAATCAGTTTTTCAATAATTTCAAGTGGTCATTTTCAGCAGCCCCAAAATATTCATTTCTAGCTATATCCATAGTTATAATTTATACTTGTGGCCTGAATTATCTCATGTATCTATCAATTTTGGGTTTCAGAAATGTTATTACTTTGCATTTGTTGTGTGAATGTTACATAAAATGTGTAAAGTATACAACATTTTGAATAGGTTACATAAATTATTACATACATTATTTCTTTAAAAGAGACGAAAGAATGCAAAATTTAGAGACGGGATTAAAAATATTCAAGCAAATAGAAAAACATAGTTTGGGCATCAACACCTCTTAAAATCTACCACCACATTACTTGAATTGAAGAGATAAGTAATTTACCCTCATTTTTGTGATCTCTAGCCACTGATCAGTTTTAAAGGTAATACAACATATACTCAACAAGGAAAGTCACAGACCACCAAAATTATCAAACTTTCATATCGATTAGTTCATAATATGATTCATATAATACTTAAATTAGTAGAGTCCTTGGATGGGTGACCGTGTTTGGCAGCTTGACTCCTGAGAGTTTCTAGATAGGACTTGAGTCCTGCCCCACAACGAAGCACATGTGACACATGTGACACATGTGGTCTCACCTTAGGCAAGTGAGTTTGTTCAAAATTGTCTCTGTTCACCCAGCAGGAAAATGGGTACCCGGTGGAAAAAGTCATATGACTATAACCTTCTAGCGCCTAACAGGCAGCTTGGGTTATCCGGGGTAATAATGTGCTGTGCCTTGATTGTTAGCGTTATGAGCATACCTGTGGAGTTTGGCGCTATATAAATAGACACATTATTATTATTATTATATTGGGGTGGTCCTTAACTTTCTTGCTTTGAGTATATAATACATGGCAAATAAATGTGTGTAGAGTCAATTCATCATTGTTTTATGAATGTAAGTGGATTTAAGAAGTTGTGCTCAGGGGTGGAAATAACTTTAAAATTGCTAGTGTACTCCGGTACAGTGGCACATGTAAAATCACTTGCTCTGATAATTTTTCCTCTATACCAGCTGTTTTCTTGTTGATTTTTTGAATAAACAACATGATTAACATTGGAATATCAACTGGACACCGGTACAGTGTGACATACAAATTTGCTTGCCCGAGAAAAAAAAACACTGTACTCGGGCGTCGGGCAATGGGTTATTTCCACCCATGAGTGCTTAAGAAGGCATATACATTATTATCTTGTATCCATTGAAACAATAACACTATAGTATAAGAGTGCACAGGTCAGTCTTACTAACACTGACATAACTCAGAACTAAGGGCTCCTGGACACTAAACAGGGGGAAATATAATTTGGTACAAAACTGGGATTTTATAAAAGTTCATACTTTCTTTCAGAGTTTATTTGTTTGTTGAGTGACATGTAGTCAGATATTTTCCACCTTCACCTGCACATAACAGTCACATATAATAAGTTAGACAAACAAAACACTGACATTTGCATAATTTTCATTATAAACCTTTCTTGTTGACAGTTTGTCAAAATTACAAAACATAAATTGTCATGACAGTTATATTGTCAACTGACATTTAACTATTGACACTAAATTTATCATTTGGACTTTGAATATTACCTACAGCGGCATTTAAATTTCTTAGCCACATTTAGAATTATTTGGAGATGTTTTGTCAAAACCTTACACACGTCACATACCAGTGCAGTCTGATATAGGTCCATTTATCCCAGGTAGCCGAACAATATGACCAAATAATGGCAGCATATCTACAAACAGGACAACTGATATCTCATATATTGTCAAAATCTTGAAACAATGTTTACATTTTCAATTACTCTTCACAACACAGAGCAGTTGTTACATCAATAACAGACAACTAGACAATTTACTACTGCTTCTAAATAGCATCCTTAGCGAGTCACAAGTACAACCAACCATTGATCCAAGTCCTGCAACTCTTTCCCCTTGTCCGTCTTCATTCGACCAACTTTGGCTGCGAAAACCTCACCATATATGGATAACACATTTTGCCAGTGGTTGGCATTGGGTTTAGACACAAAAGTGTCCATATCCTGTAAACAATGTATGTCGAAATGACGGTGCAGGAATCTTTCGGCTGACGAGTTGCGTTATGTTGTTTTCATTTGTAACATCAAAATATAGCGCCAAATTGTGCTCATTCACTCGGTAACAGGTCGGGGCAGCACGTTGCCGAATGGGTCAATGGAGTTTGTTCAAAACGGCCGGATCCTTGTATGTGAGCTAAACTATGATTTTGTCGAAATCTGTCACTACATGCTAAAAAGACATATTGCTGTTAATACAACATCTTGACAAATTCATAATTTAGTGTGTACTTGTCAAATTTACTGTGTTTTACCTTTCAAACTATTTTATGATTATAACGTTTATGTGTCGTGTCGTCATATTTTGTTCCTTAATTAAAGACTTTAAATAGACTAGCAAATGGTTCTTCATGAAACGAAGTCGGAAATAGATGTTTTATGTATTAGTGTGAAAAATATGTATATTTTGTACAACCTTCTTCCAAATCGTGTATCACTACACCCCATGCACGTGCTTGTTATAAAAGTTTGTAGACCCGGGTGGTTAGGCTCAATGACGTGGTTCATTGTACGTCATTATATCCCCATGGCGTCGACCGTTGGCCATGCTTCCAGCCACTGCCTCGTCCAGACTAAAGTATGTACAGGTTGCCGTGATAGAAAGAGAGAGAGAGAGAGCGTGAGAGCGCGCGCGTGTGTGCGTGTGTGTGTGTGCGTGTGTGTGTGCGTGCGTGTGCGTGTGTGCGAGTGAGTGAGTAAAGATATTCAAGTGAACAAATGTGATTGGAACGTCCATTCAACGTCCACCCTGTACAAACAAAACTGACAATACGTCTCTCAGTTAAATAGTGCTGCCAGTTTTCTATACGTGAGGTGATCAGCCGACTTTTAGAAAATATCTTTCATCTGTACGATAAATATGACAAGAAAAAAGACATTCTCTGTTACGCGTATCTCAAAGGAAGATGTATTTCAAGAAATAAAAAACATATAGAATGTAACATCCTTTGCTTTTATTTTACTTTTCCGACCTGTGATATCAAAAATACACTAGCTATATTCATAAGTTATTTTGCCTATGAATCTGTGGATCTGTGGATGGGGTGTCGATGGGTGTATAGAAACAGCTTATTACAATTTAAATAGATTAACCAAACTGGCAGCACTATTTAACTGAGAGATATTTTAAGATACACACATGGTGGAAGTCGAGAAATCGTGAGATTCCAGAAATAATATAAAGTGGAAATCAAAATATGAAGGAATACAAATAGAAGCGTCAATGTGAGTATTCCCTCTTTCTCGTATGGTCAGAACGGTTACATTGAATAGGAGCCCCACTGTGATGGGAGATTCAGACCATTAGGAAATCTAGACTTGCCTCACCAAGGGCTTTGGTATAGCAGAAAGGGCTGAGCGGAAGGGAAAATAATGTGGTGCTGGGACTGTGAGACAGACTAGAGTTACAAATCACACTGAAATACTGTTGATAACGGTTCAATCCCAAATGCACTCTCCGATAGTGTTACAACTCCGTTTTGATATAACATTTAGGGGAATGCGGTTTTGTATTGCTCGGAACGCTTTAAATAACTTCACAATTGTATCCATATGCCTGGCCAGCCTGGAACTATATCTGTGTCCACATGAAATAGCTCTATCAGAATGAAGACGAAGAAATACGCTGAGTCCAAACTTCTTTATTGACTAAACAATACATGATAAACAAATATACTCAGACAGCAATGATCGGATATTCCGGCTCAAACATTGGTGAGATCCAGCTCAACCTCAGGATGTTTCCAGCGGCATATCCCGTTCGTGGTCGTCCTGTCACAGTCAGAATATTGGATGTAAACATATATAGTACAAAACAACAATGGTAAGATGAAGCGACAACAATGGCCAGATTAAGAGACAGTGACATTTCCTTGGACTTATTGATGTGATGGTAAACATGCACGACCAAGGGCATGACCAAGTATGGTTATAAATGTCATAATATAAAATAACAGTATGCAATGAAATGGTGGTGAGAAGTAAGGATGCAGATAAGCATCAAATATATAACTGCATGCAGTCAGGTTAAACACATCGTTATTGTAGCCTTTGGAATTAAATGTGTCCTTAATCAGTCTCTGTGACACATCTACCTTGTCAGACGGTGCCCGACACACGAAGCTTAGTATCAGACAGATGTTTGCATCTACGAGGAAGAATTACCAAACAAATTCCGATATGATATAATATGATCTAATACAATATAAGCAAAGCTCAATCATCTTTTCATTGACATCAACAATCAGAGATATGGTCTCTGCAATAATATAGGTCTCATAAAACATTACACCACACTCTGACGTACTGTTATACATGGAGGAATACTTACACAATAAGTACATTGTACTCCTACTCTTACATATTAACCAGTCCACACACACACGTTTCATTGGCTTGACAACAAAGGTTTTAAGCCCAAACCGGGTGCAGAGAACATACAATGGATAAAGCAAGCATAAATTAATAATAAAACCAACTGACAACACACTATAATGCGTTTTGCTGTAATACTTAGAGAAGTTAACGCTTCAGTGAGTGAGTGAGTATGGTTTTACGCCGCTTTTAGCAATATTCCAGCAATATCACGGCGGGGGACACCAGAAATGAGTTAGCGCTTCAAGATAACATAAGATCTGAATACAAATTCATGTGTCTCCAGCAAAGTCCCATTTACAATGTTTTACTGAAACACTTAGACTCGATGATAAAGTCATGATGTAGCATTTAATATTTCTCTGTTTGTGTTTGTGTATCTGTTACATATTTCAGTTTAAGATTACGATCGATTTATCATATTGTCAGTTATTTGCTACTATATATAATAATTTGAATATTTCTTTTGAATACTTCGTGCTGAACTGTTGTATGGTTCAGAATGTATCAGTCTTGACCCAATGTCCGCTGAATGGCGATATTTACGAACTGTTATCGACCATCCTTGAACACCAAGAGAAGGGGAGATAAACAGTAGGAGTATTCACCAGGTCTTCTCCTAGCGTGTCCACACACACAATGCTAATAGAACAGGCAGTATATAGTCACCACCAGCCACGCCCAGTGAGGTGGGGACATCGTCACACACCCTGCAATCAAGAAGAGAAACTGTTATAGTTGTTTCGCACAAATAACGATATGTGTTACCCTTTTGATATACATGTAGATGTACTTTATCAAGAAATATCTCGGTACCTCTCCTATCACTGTAGTTTTGTACCACCACTACTGTAAGGAACATTTTCTATGTCTTATAAACGAGAAATATTTTGGAAGTGGATCTCTGAGTAATTTTTGAAGAAAGTTCTATCACTATGCAGATTGTACACCCCGCATTCAGATCAGAGGCAAGCGAGATATTTGTATGATTTCAAGTTGTAGGACTAGACAGATGAAATAGAAACAGTGATGCTGCTTTAAATATTTGCTTTCGAATCCCTGTCAGTTTTACAGCTATGTCCTTCGATTAATAAAACCATTGTCTTCCGAAGGTAAATTACGTATTATGTATGACAATAGTTATCAACTATATATTATCAACGGAAAGGTCATAACTTCACATACCCTGTGATGTAACATCTTCTTTGACTTTTGTTTGAAGAATTACATGTATCTCTCTCCTTTTGGTGCATAATCCTGACTTCTGTTCACATTTCAAACAATTATCTGCGCATCTCTCAGTGCACGTGTCACCATGGTAACCATTCCTACATTCCTGGCAACTTCCATCCATGTTGCATCTCTCGTCTACGCATGCGTTGCTGCATCTCGTCGAACAGTCCTCCCTAGTCCACCCTCTGACGCATCCTTTGATACATCGAACGGATGATAACAACTTATTGTAGGTACATATATTGTCAACACAGTTTGTACAGGAAAGGCCACACTTTTCCCCAATGTACCCTGGCTTGCATTGATCACAGTATCCCCGGAATAAGTTACACCTATTGTGGAGACAGTTTTCTGGACATGGTTTATCACACAACTGGCCGCCGAACCATCCATCGGTGCAGCCAAGAAGACATGTTCCTGCGTCCTGGTGACATGCGGATTGATCACAGTTGCCGGTGCAGAGTTTCTGACACTGATGTCCCCACCGACCAGGGACGCACCCCTCCAGACACCTCCCTGTGTGTCGGTCACAGTACCGATGGCCATCAAAACTTGCACGACAGCCGTCTGAACATGGCACGTTACAATCATTTGAGTGATATCCGGGTTGGCACTGGACACATCGTCCATCTTCTTTAACACATTTGCCGTACCAGCATCCTTGACACTCCTCTGTACAGTCAGTGTACAGTCAGTGTACACACGCTGTAGTCGCAGCTGAGGCAGTTACACACCGTTGCGAGTGTGATAAATCCACTACTGAAATAGAACTGCATGTGTGACAGTAGTTGCAGAATCAACAATTATAAGAGTCGATGTTGTAGTACAGCCGTAGACTGTGTTAAGTACTGAGAAATCTTAGTATTCATATAACCAAAGACACAATAGTACTTCACAATAGTACAGAAGATGGTTGGCTTAAATCATAATAAGATAAACTTAAAAGGATTAGACAGGGAAAGATTATTTGAGGTATGTTATCCTTGAACACCTCATATGTCTGCCCTCTCCTTCACTCCCCAACCCCGCCCCATTCATTAAAGGAGATCAAGAAGTTACTGCTATCTTAACAAGCGTTAAGAAGTGGTCAGTCCGAAGGTTTATCAATGTACATACACACCCCAGTCTTTATAATGTATTCGTTGTGATCAAAAGTTGCTTCTGAGTATGCTTATACTAAAAATCTAAACATGTCACACATCAATAAATTTGTAAATAAGTAATACGTACCACAAAACAGACCAAAGATGATCCCTGAAAAATAAAGTATACATTCACAATATACAGAACTAAATCGATTTTCTACGCCTGCGACGTTATGTATGTATGAAGGTATACAGGTATGTATGTATTTAGGTATGTAGGTATGTATGTAGAAATGTCTGTGTCTGTAGGTATAAGTGTGTGTAGGTATAGAGGTGTGTGTGTGTGTGTGTGTGTGGTGTGTGTGTGTGTGTGTGTGTGTAGGTAGGTAGGTAGGTAGGATAGCTGGATATTATCAGAGTAATATTTCATATAAACTCAAATACTTAGGTTAAGACTTCTGTAATAAACCAATCTTAGACATATCTGTTTTTTTACATACATGTAGCTTTAATAGCCTTCACCATTCGTGGTCACATAGACTTGGTATTTCCAATCAAAGAATCCTCTAAAGGAAATCACACGAAACACACTTTGAAAAGAATGAATCTGTCCTATCGAGAGTCTCTGTAATGCGTCCGTATAGAACCACCCAACACACCTCAATTGAAATAGCTAGCATTTCAACGCTATGAGAGAACATCCATGTATAGACATGAGTGTGTTCGGGTCTGTGTACAATACATAATAGTTTACCTCGCACTCCCACGACTTAAACATTATATAATACCAAAATAGACTTAGTGAAGTGTCGCAACGCGGTATGTGCTTGAACAAATATTACTGGATTTAGATACAAAATACGTGTGTAACCACGGATGGCCCTGTTACAGGACACCAACTGATCACAATGTATATACTTAGTTCGGGGGCTTCAAGGTGTGTTATCTGTTTCGAGTTACTTGAAAATAAACTTTCGCTGAGCGCGCGCACGCACGCACGCACTCACACACGCACGCGCACACACACCATTACCTAAATACGGATTTTTAAGCATAATCAGTTTGAATTAAATGTATTCGTAAAGTATGATTAAGTCTGTCATGATTCTCCCAATTCAATCTGTCACTAGAATATAGAAAACTGAAGACTCAAGAAAACGTCCATCAATGATGATTACCTACCAACTTATCAATGTCCTGGAAGGGTATGTTACCAGCAACATATATAGATATATTTCTGTCTTTCATCCAACCAGGTTGAGAGGAGCAATTCAATATTCCCTCGTCATGATTTCCCACAGTCAATCAGACCTTGCCTTATGGCCTTATTACCATGACTACTTATATGATATATACTCATGCCAATAATGGTTGTCACCCCCCTCCCACCCCAACCCCACACACATCCCACACCCACACCCCCTCTCCAATAAAAACTATTGAAAGGGGTGACAACCATTATTGGCATGAGTATATTAAACACATATTTAGTTACAGCTGAAAATACCTACAATAAATCTGGATATACACAAAATATCATAGAAAGGGGAAAGGGGACACACATCGGTTTGTCTTGACATGTTAATTTTATGAAATGTTCAATCTATTTCACGAACAATTAACAGACACAATAACATTCTATCTGTTTGTGTTTACACTGTATCAATAAAGGTGTATTATTTACATATCAATATCCATGCTTGTCATAATTTGAAAATGGTTATCTGACTTTTGTTCACAAAACGTTATAATTTAGGTTTTTCATGTTGTGTTGCCCATCGCATGTCATTACCCCCAGTAAAAGTGAACATGCACACATAAATTTCTGACTAAATTAATCTCATTAAATCAGTTTTCGGTAATTTCAAGCGGTCATTTTCAGGAGCGCCAAAATCTTCATTTCTAGCTATATCCATAGTTATAATTTACACTTGTGGCCTGAATTATCTCATGTATATCAATTTTGAGTTTCAGAATTGCTATTACTTTTCATTTGTTTTGTGAATGTTACATAAAATGTGTAAAGCATACAACATTTTGATTAGGTAACATAAATTCTTGACACTATTTCTTTAAAGAGACAAAAGAATGCAAAATTTAGAGACGGGAGTAAAAATATTCAAGCTAATAGAAAAACATAGTTTGGGCATCAACACCTCCTGAAATCTACCACCACATTACTTGAATTGAAGAGATAAGTAATTTACCCTCATTTTTGTGATCTCTAGCCACTGATCAGTTTTAAAGGTAATACAACAAATGTGCATACTCAACAAAGAAAGTCACGGACCACACACATTATCAATACGCACACACACACGCACGCACGCACACACACATACACACACAACGTTTTACCTTTCAACCCACCGTGATATTGCTGGAATATTGCTAAAAGCGGGGTAAAACCCAACTCTCTCACTCACTTTTACCTTTCAAACTATATTATGATCATTGCATAAATGTGTCGACTCATCATGTTTTGCCCCTTAAAAGTATCCGCATAAAGAAAGACAAGCAAAAGGGAAGGTTCTGCAAAAGATGAAGTTGGAAACATATGATTTATGTATAAGTTGAACAATCTTATTTGAATTATTTTGTGCAATCTTCTTCCAAACCGTGTGTCAGGAACACGCTGTGTGGGTTCCGAGGGTGGTTATTCCTGCTGTATCCCATGCTTCTAACCAAAGCTTGTAGGCACAATGACGTGGTTCATTGTACGTCATTATATCCCCATGGCGTGGGCCGTTGGCCATGCTTCCAGCCACTGCCTCGTCTAGACTAACGTATGTATAGGCTGCCGTGATAGAGGTTGCCTGTTGCTGACTGTGGCGGTAAACAATGTTTACTCACACCTGGGCGGGATAATATTCTGCAGACACACAAGGTATCAGAACAGAAATACCTAATAATTTTGACACTAACAGATAATTCAATTTAAATTGAAAAGGAGTCCCACTTTGATGGGAGATCCAATACCTGAGGAAATCCAGACTTGCCTCAACAAGGACATAGCAGAAAGGGCTGAACGGAAGGGAAAATAATGTGGTGCTGGGACTGTGGGACAGACTAGAGTTACAACATCAAACTGAAATACTGTTGATAACGGTTCAATCCCAAATGCACTCTCCCATAGTGTTACAAGTCCGTTTTGATGTAACATTTAGGGTAATGCGGTTTTGTATTGCTCGGAACGCTTAAAATAACTTCGCGATTGTATCCGTATGCCTGTCCAGCCTGGACCTATATGTGTGTCCACAAAAACGAGCTCTATCAGAATGAAGACGAAGAAATACGTTGAGTCCAAACTTCGTTATTGGCTAAACAATACATGATAAACAAATATACTCAGACAGCAATGATCGGATGTTCCGGCGCAAACATTGGTGAGATCCAGCTCACATTTTCTACCAGCGGCATATTCGTCCTGTCACAGGCAGTCAGAATACCGGATGTAAACATCTATAGTAAAAAAATAACAATGGCAAGATGAAGTGACACCAATGGCCAGATTGAAAGACAGTGGCATTGCCTTGGACTTATTGCTGTGATGACCAACACCACCAAGGGGATGACAAGTATGGTTATAAATGTCATAATATAAATAACAGCAATTAATGAAATGGCAGAGAGGCACAGATTGGATAACAAGTCAATATACAATGAAATGGTGGTGAGAATTAAGAATGCAGGTAAGCGTCAAGTAAATAACTGCAGTCAACTTAAACACATCTTGTAACCTTTGGCATTAAATGTGTCCTAAATCAGTCTCTGTGACACATCTAACTTATCGGGGTGTCCGACACATTAAACTTTAGTATCAGACAGATGTTTGCATCTACGAGGGAGAATTATCATACAACAAAATGCAACATAACATAACATAACATAATCCTCAGCTTTTTTATTGACATCAACAATCAGAGAAATGATCTCCACAGTAATATAGGTCTCCTAAAACATTGCAACCACACTCTGTCGTACCTGTTATACATGTAGAATACTTACTAAACCAGTACACTGTATTCTTATTCTTACTCACCTACATGTCAAAACAGTCCTCACATACTCCCAAGTCTCAATGGCTTAGGACAACAAAGGTTTTAGGCCCAAACCGAGTGCAGAGAACATACCATGGATAAAGCAAGCGTAAATTACTAATAAAACCAACTGACATCACACTATAATGCGTTTTGCTGTAATACTTAGAGACGTAAGCACCTCAAGATAACATAAGATCTGAATACAAATTCATGTGTCTCCAGCAAAGTCCCATTTACAATGTTTTACTGAAACACTTAGACTCGATGACAAAGTCTTGATGTAGCATTTAATATTTCTCTGTTTGTGTTTGTGTATCTGTTACATATTTCAGTTTAAGATTACGATCGATTTATCATATTGTCAGTTATTTACTACTATATATAATACAGAGGAAACCGCCTAAGTAAAGACCTCTTAACTAAACAGACCTGATAAGTAAACACTTTTCCTTGGTCCCGGCAAATTTCTTCATTAATTATCACTATTAGAGTCCTGTTAACTAAACTTGGATAAGTAAACAATACCGCTTAACTAAACGTCTTCTCACGGTCCCTGGAAGTAAATTACTTAACAAAAGAGACTGGATAACTAAAATAGCGATCACCACATAATCCGACATGAGGGGCAAGTGTCAGTCTCCAGTTAAACAAACATCCTGCTTACAGTTCGCTGGGGTCAAGCAGTTGACAATACACTGACAACTGGAGGCCAGCCCTGATAAGTGGTTCATTGTTACATATGCATACATATACATGCATATGGTTGTCATTTGCAGATTTTTATAGGTTTGGATAAGTAAAATACCTGATAAGTAAACAATTTTGGCGAGTCCCCTTGGAATTTTACTTATCAGGTTTCCACTGTAATTTGAATGTTTCTAAACCTCGCGGGCCTACTTCGTGTTGAACTGTTGTATGCAGTTTCGGCCTCTTTCACATGTGTTCTCACCATCTGCATCAATGTTACTGTGGTAACCTGTCCCAAGGCTCGTCCAGCCGAAGCAGCCTTTTCTTTCGCCATGTAGTTTTACTCCAGCTGTTCAGAAGTTCAGAAATGTGGTCGAGATGTTGCTCAAATATATCACTGGAGATTTCTTATCGTAAGTATGGATTCCAATCCTTTGGTCCCAGTGTGAGACAGTGTCTAGCATTGAATGTATGTCATCTTGTGATTCGGTTCGTTGTACGACGTCGTCCGCCTAAATGAGTAAACTAAGGAAAAAAAACGTATGTCAATCCTACAGGAATAATTCCCAGTACTTTGTCTAGATGGTATCAGTCTTTGACGCAATGTCTGCTGAATGGTGATATTTCCGAACTGTTATCGACCATCCTTGAACACCAAGAGAAGGGCTGATAAACAGTAGGAGTATTCACCACGTCTTCTCCAAGCGTGTCCACACACACAATGTTAATAGAACAGGCAGTATATAGTCACCACCAGCCACGCCCAGTGAGATGGGGACATCGTCACACACCCTGCAATCAAGAAGAGAAACTGTTATTGTTGTTTTGGAAGATAACAATACGTTTTGCCCTAAAAATGAAGTTTTGATATAGATGTACTTTATCAAGGAATATCTCGGTACCTCTCCTATACACTGTAGTTTTCTGAAATTAGGCAAAGCGAGATATATGTATGATTTCAGCTTAAAGACGCTGTTAGGCTGGACAGGTGAAAATGACAGAAACAACGGTACTGAATGTAATATTTGTTTGAGTATCCGTGTCAGTTTTACAACAATCCCCCTTGATCAACAAAACCATTCTCTTCCGAAGGGAAATTACGTATTATGTACGGCAATAGTTATCAGCTATATATTATCAACGGAAAAGGTCATTAATTCACATACCCTGATTTGTAACATCTTCTTTAACATGTGTTTGAAGAATGACATGTATCTCCCTCCTTTTGGTGCACAATCCTGACTTCTGATCACATTTCAAACAATTATCTGCGCATCTCTCAGTGCACGTGTCACCATGGTAACTATTCCTACATTCCTGGCAGCTGCCATCCATGTTGCATCTCTCGTCTATGCATGTTTGCTGCATCTCGTCAAACAGTCCTCCCCACTCCACCCTCTGACGCATCCTTTGGTACATCGAACGGATGATAACAATTCATTGTAGGTACATACATTGTCAACACAGTTTGTACAGGAAAGGCCACACTTTTCCCCAATGTACCCAGGCTTGCATTGACCACAGTATCCCCGGAATAAGTTACACCTATTGTGAAGACAGTTTTCTGGACATGGTTTATCACACAACTGTCCGAACCATCCATGGGTGCAGCCAAGAAGACATGTTCCTGCGTCCTGGTGACATGCGGACTGATCACAGTTGCCGGGGCAGAGTTTCTGACACTGATGTCCCCACCGACCAGGGACACACCCCTCCAGACACCTCTCTGTGTGTCGGTCACAGTACCGGTTGCCATCAGAACTTGCACGGCAGCCACGTGGACATGGCACGTTACAATCATTTGAGTGATATCCGGGTTGGCACTGGACACATCGTCCATCTTCTTTAACACATTTGCCGTACCAGCATCCTTGACACTCCTCTGTACAGTCGGTGCCGTACCACCCGTACACACACTCCGTACACACGCTGTAGTCGCAGCTGAGGCACTTGGCTCCACACCGTTGCGAGTGTGATAAATCCACTACTGAAATAGAACTGCATGTGTGACAGTAGCTGCAGAATCAACAACTAATTATAAGAGTCGATGTTGTAGTACAGCCGTAGACTGTGTTCAGTACTGAGAAATCTTAGTATTCATATAACCAAAGACACAATAGTACTTCACAATAGTACAGAAGATGGTTGGCTTAAATCAGGATTAGATAACCTTAAAAGGATTAGAAAGGGAAAGATTATTTGAGGTATGTTATCCTTTACCACCCTAAATGTCAACCCTCTACTTCAGTCAGTAACCCCGCCCCATTCATTAAAGGAGATCGTGAAGTTACTGCTGTCTTGACAAGTATCGATAGAAGTGGTCAGTCTGAAAGTTTATCAGTGTACATGCTCGCCCTGCTATTTGTAACTTATTAGTTGTGATCAAAAGTTGCTACTGAGTGTATACTTGTATTTGTTTTTTTTTTTTTATCTAAACATGTCACATATAAATATATTTGTAACGATAACTTATCATAAGTAAAAAAGTAATACATACCCCAAAACAGGCCAATAAGGATCCCTGAAACATAAAGTATATACAAATACCACGTCTCATATTCAACCGATGGATGCAGGAATAATTCGGACATTCAAGGCATACTACAATAGATCGCTTGTTAGACATTACCTCACCTGTGCTGAGGAAGGACGTGATCAGACACGTCGGATCAACATGCGGATGTCACTCGGTAAAATTATTGATGTGATGAATTAGGCTTTACATTAAATGCTTATTTGTTTTATCCAGATTCGTGTCGTTTTTGTAATTCTTAGGGAAGCAACTTGGGTCTTGATTCAGTAGTCCGGACTATTCGCAATCCGGACGAATTTACTGAGAAACGCAACCGTCCGGATTAACGAGGCTTCACTGTATTCACAATATACAGAACTAAATCGATTTTCTACGACTGCGACGTCACATGCATGTATGTATGTAGGTATGAAAATAAGTTGTATGCCTCTATCGAGGGTAATGCGGTCTGATGCACGTCTCTTTGTAGCAGTGTCATCATAAAAAACTCAAATACTTAGGTTAAGACTTCTGTAATAAACAAATCTTAGAATTATCTGTTTGCTTTACTCACATGTAGCTTTAATCGCCTTCGCCATTAGTGGTCACATAGATTTTGTATTTCCATGCAAAGAATCCTCCAGAAGAAGTCACGTAATTCTCCGGGGAACGTATGAATCAGTATAACCGAGAGACTCTGATATGCGTCCGAACAGAACCATAGATCATGTCCCATTTGAAGTCGTTAACATGTTAGCACTATGAGATAACATCTATGTATAGACATAAGTATCACAATACAAAATAGTTTACCTCCCACTCCCACACCTTAAACGTTATGCAATACCAAACTAGGCTCAGTGAATTGTCGCTACGCAGTATGTGGTTGTCCTTTGTCAAAGGTTGTATTACTTGATCTAGATACAAGATACGTGTGCAGTGACGGGGCCACCACGCATGGCCCTGCTACAGGATCACAATGTATATATACTTAATACGGGTGCTCCAACGTGTGTTATCTGTTTCGATTGCCTAGAGAATACACTTTCGCTGAGCACACACCCATTAACTATAATCAGCTTTGAACCTGTGAAGGGGAATAATGGAAAGAGGTTTAACTTAGACCAGGTTTAAGGCTAGCCGGGTCTAAAATATACAATATTATAGAAAGCAGGTCTGGCAAAACCCTTGGTTGAAACTTAGACTAGGGGTTTAAGTTTTTCCGCTTTAAAATGTTTCAACTTTATAGTTAACCGTTTTTGCGCATAATCAGTGTCCTATTTCCGTTTTTGACTCAGCGTTTTCATACGTTGCATGGCGGTACATAACGGTACATCACGGTAGCGTTTCAAACGTGCTGATGGTGCTGATTTCAAATCACCAAAAATCTCAAGTATTAAATTTGGTCATTTGACCCTATTTTGTCAGACGCGGTTACATATGTAGATTTTATTCAATAATATCAATTACAAAATAATTTAGTGAAAGAAAAATCTTTTTTCTAAGTGTTATCTACCCTTTGGTATACAGGACCTCAAATAAGATGCGTATCTGCATAAATACGCATGGATAAATCAGATATAAACTAGCGTCGAAAAGAAACGCCACCAAACAGTTTTCTTCACTAAAACACAACAAAAGCACATTCTGGTAACAAGAAGTGTTGTATTGTAAAACACAATCAGTCAGCAACAGTTCTTGAAACCTATCAGTTAGAAAAACGAAACAGTTCGTGTTCTGAAGGCACATCGATCGCCAACGCTGATTCGTCTTTAAGGTCTCAAACTGTCCTGAACAACACGGATGATTCAGTATCTTGCAGTGATGTAGGCTCTAACGCGGCGTCGAACTGAGTATGTGAGCCTGCTGACGTCATCATTAGGGATTCGGCGCCATTCCTCTTGCAGGGCAACTGCCAAAGCGTCCCTAGTCAATGGCGGCTGTTGACGTTTCCGAATACGTTGCCCCAGTTGGTCCCAGAGGTGTTCGATTGGAGACAGATCGGGTGATCTCGCTGGCCACTGTAGCAGGTTGACGTTGTTAGTGTTGAGGAAGTCACTAGTGATCCCCGAGCTGTGTGATGTGTGGCGTTGTCCTGTTGAAACAGAGTCCTTGGGTGACGTTGCAGGTAAGGCAGCACCACAAGCCGTAAGATCTCGTCAATGTAACGACGTGCGGTGAGATTACCGTTGATGATGACGAGATCTGTCTTCTGGTCCCCACAAATGCCGCCCCAGACCATAACGCCTCATGTCATACGGGTAACTTTGGGCACAATTTCCATTTTTTCTGTGCGAATTCATTTAACTCACCAATCATCCAAATCTCGTGCACTTGTTCACTGGGAATAGACAGGTTGTGTTTGAGGGATGTGTTTTCAGCCGTTTTTCAGCAGATTGGCAATTATTTTGACAATTTATGATAATTTTTATTTTGGCGGCGTTTCTTTTGGACGCTAGTTTATAAGGGAACGAGATATGATAATTGCACAAGATTTCTCTCAATAAATCACAGATATGGACTTGCCCCATGATCATAGAAATCGTATGCACACTAGTGCATTTACTACTGTTTGTTTATATTGATGGTATCATGTTTACACTGCGCCACAACGGCAATAACGTCATGTAGGTTATGTTATGGTTACGCCATGTCTTTTTGCCATGCAACAGCATAATTTTTGATAGACTTTGCTCGCTCTGTAAGATGACATAATTTTTAAAGTCCGTTTTTTTACCTGTTCCGTATTTTAAGAGCTTGTTATGTTGTAGTTGATTCAACGAAAATAACTTCAAGTGTAATTTTGAAAATAAAGTCATCTTCCTAATTATCTCACTTATTTCTTTTTCTTTTTTTTTAAATAAGGATATTCAAAATAACAAGATATAAACATGTAGGCCTACATACTTTTTCTTGGTTATTTTAGTACCCTCTGGCTATTGAACACTCTTGATCTGAACGAATCAGCGTTTGATTTAAGAGATAGATCGGAGTTACATGTTAAAAACCTGCATGTAAACCTGCCCCTACCTAGGTCTGCATTTTTACCCGTTTTTAACGGGGTTTAGACCTGGTTTAGTGCAAAACCTGCTTTCTTAATACCGTCCTGGAATGAAAACTCAGCTTCAGAGCAGGGTTAAACCTGGGTTATCGGCAAACTTCGTAAATGTGTTCGTGATTTCCCGGGGAGCGACGGAAAACTCGGGACTAACTTAAAACACGTTCCATAATATGAAATATTTACGTCTCGGTCTAACTTCTTTGTTTTAGACTTGGATTAAGTTCAAACCACCTTTCATCATAGCAATTCAGGTTTAAACTCGCAATTAGACCGGGATTTTCCTTAAACCGGGTCTAAACCTGTTTCCATAATTCGGGTTTACTGCATTTACCTTCTGCAATGTAGAGAGTTTTAAGCATCATCACATTGAATCAAATGTATTTGTAAAGCAATGCATATTCTAAACTTAAGTATATCCACGTCTAAGCTGGCTTCGAATTTCGAAGAAACAGGGAAGATAAAATGCTTCCTTTAAGCTGAGATACCTATATCATAATTTCCTCACATAGAGGATTGGCTTGTTCACTGCAGAATACACCTCACGCCAGGCATGTTTTACTACTACCTACTGTTAACTCACTGAAAGTCGCGAGACAACACGACCTCCAGCGTCCTTGACACATGGCCCAGGCTTACTGTGACACTGCTTGCTATACCATGTCAACCAGTTTCCCCCGTTATATGGCGGGAAGCTATCACAGCTAGGTGATTTACTAATTTAATATTATACATGTAGAAATGGGTACCACCTGTCTTGTAACCATATTTATGACCTGGATAATGCATGAATATTTCATGTCAATCACTGGGTCCTTTTACAGATCTGACAGGCGTTCCTTGTACAAATATAATCGACAGTTTGGGTATTTTTCATACAGGCAAATGCTTGGTGATACTACACTCTTCAAAAAAAGAAACGCATAAGCCATTTTTTGAAGAATGCAATTTCAATGGTAGAAAGGTGAAAATTCAACAAAGAGTTCGCCAACACAACAGCAGCCTGTATTGTTGTGTTTCTGTTTACTTGAGTCCACAAGATGGCGTCAAAGTCAGTACTTTGTATGGCCACCATTGGCAGCAATTACTGCTCGGCACTGTCTTGGCACAGACTGAAGTCGACGAAGTCGCTCTTGTGGAATTCTTCCCCACTCTTCCTGCAATGCGATGGTCAGTTGTCAAAGTGTCTGAGGCGTGTTTTGGCGTTGACGTTGTTCTGTCGGGTTTAGATCGGGGCATCGGGATGGCCATGGCAAGACCTTGACGTTAGAATTGGCAATGTAGCGGGCCGTGACGCGTGCTGCTCTGTCGGTACATAATCGGAAGCATGTGACGTGCAAGGACTTCTTTGATTTGCTGTCAAATTCCCCCGAACCACCACTACATCAGATATTTGTGTGCTGGATATCGCAGCACACCATGACACTGACTCCATCGCATCTGTCGATCTGTCGGGCAAAACGTTCATTTCTCCGAGGGTAAACACGCTGTCTCCTATCTCGCCGGTGAAGAAGAAATCGTGATTCATCACTGAATCGCCTCCAATTCCGAAGGTTCAGTTCCAGACTTTACTACACCACCGCAAGCGATTGCGCCGATGGGAGTCTCTCAAAACAGGGGCGACAACTGGCCTTCTTGGTCGAATCCCCACTTCACGCAATCGATTCCTGACAGTTTGGTCGGAAATTCTTCTCAAACCAGGGATGCTTTGTGCAGTTTCCACAGTTGTGGCAAGACGATGACTCAAGTGAGCAACCCGGATGTAGCGGTCCTGGACTTGGGTGGTAACTCTTGGACGGCCGCTTCTCGAGCGATCTTGAGGTAATTGGTCTGCGATCCCAAGGAAACGATCCCAATGGCGAGATATGGTGCTCTGATGAACGTTGAAATGTCGGACAACTGCAGACTGCGACTCCCCAGCTTCAAGGCAGCCTATAATGGCGATGTTTCGATTGGCGACACTCAGTCGTGGCATGATGATTTCCTCTTTTTCCAGGCAAAAACGAATGACAAAATTAAACACAACGTTTGGCTTGTTATAATGATCGATACCGAATGCTTTTCCGCTTACTTGCACGTGCATGGTGCTGTGCATTTTTTCTTGGTAACGTTTTGTCCAATATTTCTTCAAACGCTTAAAAAAAACAAGGTAAAAAGTTAAAAATGCCGCTCTGTTCGGGACTTTGGCTCTGAAGCTGTTTACAATCACACAAAGATGACGTTTTGGAAAGAAACAGTATATTTGTATTGTTTTTGCCGCAGTTACATGAGTCCAATATTCTCAAAATCACCTATGCGTTTCTTTTTTGAAGAGTGTATCATGCATGATATCCACGTAAAGTCATGTGTGTTTATAGCTCAACTCCCATGCACTAAATGGACTGTAAAACATACTATCATTCAACAAACATTCACAGAGGTATTAAGTGTTATGTATTCAAGTAGTTTGACTCTTTTTGAAGAATATACTAGTGATCTAACCCATTAAAAACAAAAGATATTTACTCTAACTTTAAAGAATGAACAAGCAATGATCAGTCATGCAACAAACTACCTGTTCCCCTACACTGTAGCGTTTATTGACTGGAACGTTCACACCAATTCCATCCACATTGCCTGTTCGGTTCCTACAACGGATACCCACTGGATTATTATACCCTAACATTACATTATCTTGGGCAGTGTATGTTCACTAATACGTTCCAGGACATGTCTATTCCTCCCTGATCTTCTTTATGGGGATTGAACAATCGATGATGTGTGCCTGGAAGGACTATACTGTCATATCGACTTATTCAGGACAGCCATCGTCCAAATATTTCTAAAGACCA